CAGCATGAGGAAAGAAAGAGAAAAGAAAAGCTTTTTCTTCACAGCTTCACTCCTATCAAGCCTTGAGCAACCCACAGCTCATAAACCCTTTTTTGCCAAAGTAAGTGGGGAAGGGGATTTTTGCTTTCCTTCACTGTAAAACACTTGGGAGCAGATAGATCTTGCCATAAATGGCAACTCTTTTYTGCTCGGTGGGGAAAACTATGTCACCCTTGGCAAGGAGTGCAGAGCTAACCAAATCAGAGGTGTTCCTCTRTACTCAGCTCATTCCCAGCTCCCCAAACCTCCCATCACCAGCCAAGGCCATGCATTAGGGAGCACAGCTCAGGGGGTGAGAGGCAGGAGGAGAAGGGGTCCTTAGGAGGAGATCACATCTCTAAACATCATATTTGCACTCATTAGGAGGCAGTAAAGAAGCGAGGCAAGCAGGGCAATTAGAGATAAGGGTGAGCAACACACTGTTCCCAGACCAATGTCCTTCCTGCTGGTAAAAGTGGGGGTGCAGTGCGATGCATTCTTGACATTTTGTTCTCCCAACAGATGCCAGCTCAGTTCTTATCAGATATCTCCACGGCCAATGATTTTTCACAGTGGATAACACGACTGAGCTGCATAGGAAACAATCATAAACCTCTGTCCAGGCAGCTGAGCAGAATGTTCCCTTCCTGGCCCTCAAATACTTGTGGTTTTACCTTTTCCACTCTTCCTCATTTAATCTCTTTTCTGCCCTRCACATTCAAGGCTTTGACCCACCCTCAGTTATATGAAGGTGATGAACTTCAGACCAGATCTTTCCTCCTCTCCTTGGATCCAGTCCTTCTCTTCCACAAACAACACAGACTTGTCTTCATCTTGAACACACTCTTTCCTCTGACAGGAATCTGACCTTGAGGATGCTGCTCTGACCTCCCAGCACCTGAAGTTCCCTCTCRGGTGGATTTTGGCCGAATCTCAGGGATGCTTTTGCTGCTTTATGCTGAACTTCATGAAAGCTGTGCAAGAGAGACACCCTCCTTGTTCTGCTCCCTGCTAAAGCAATATTTGGGGAGCTCAGTTASGTGTGCCAAAGCCAGGGGAGCTGAGGATGCAATCCAACTGCTTCCCTTTAGATTCTGCACTCCAGGATGAGGAAGTTTTCCAGTAAGCACTCACACACCCTGGTGATAACAGTGAAAAAAGCACACCTTTGCCTAGGTTAGCACATGATGGGACTGTCGACTCAAGCAAAGTGCTGCTCTGCCCTCCACACATGCACACCMCAGSTCGAGACTTTTTCAGGACTTCCTGRGCTGAGTCCTTACAGATCAGRMMAYGAGGATTATGTTAATTTTGGCCAGGCAGCCCTGGCTTCAATTTACCCTGGGCTGCTCTGCCCTTGGCTATGCCCCAGGGGCTCCCCTTTGGCAGCCCTTACTCCCAGGGCACAGAGCACATCCCTTTGGGGCTGTCAGGGATTTGGGGCTGTTCAGAGTCTCAGGCTCTTTGCCTGGGATTTCTGTATGCCTTGCTTACATATGCACATTTATACAGACACATCTCTGCAATCTGTGTGTCTGTATTTACACACGTGACATCACACTGTTACATCACAGCTGCTCTGCAGTGGAAGGTTTCTTGACACTGCAATAGCAGGGTTTCTGTGAGATGAGCTGTATGGCAAATTTCTGAGACAGTTTTGGCCCTTTCTGGGGTCTTTTTCACAATAAGCAGGATAATTTCCCATTTTGACCATTCCTTCATTGCACTGGAAATGATAGGCATCAGCAGCCATCAGTCTGAATCTTTTCTGTGCAGACTGCTCTRCCACAGCCCCACTGATCTGGAGCCAGTCTCATGCACTATCCTATTACAACAYCAGCTCTATCCAGCCATGTTCAGATTTTTGTGGCTTGTGCAGAGCCCACAGGTCTGCTTGCAGTCATCCCTTGCCCACACACCCTGCTCTGCAGGTCCCAGCTCCCTTTCTTCCAGTGCTGTGGATTCCCAGCCCTGCAGTTTCAGGACTGTTCACCCRTGCTTTAGGGGGGGATGCACTGTGTTGCTTGGCACGGTCTGGATTAGTTCTGGCTCTCCAGCAGTCCTTGTTTTCAGTTCCAGCCATGGGCTGGTCTCCTCTAAGGGAGCTGGCTATGCTCCTCTTTTCCTTTCTCCTCCCCTAAAACTACCAAACCTCTCAAGCACATCAGAGCCAGCCAGTGTAAGAGGCAGGACTATTTCTTGAGGTCTTTTTATTTGCTCACACTCTCTGCAGGCACYGAGTGAAACAGTCTTTGACCTTCTTCTGCTGCTTCCCATAGTACCAAAGCTCCTGTGGCACTTTAAGACCTCCAAACTTCTGCTCTGACATTTTCTTGGTATGTCTGGCACTGTGTGACCATCAGAGATTACTCAATAATTCAGTTATTAATTTTCATGACAGAGACCTGCCTGTGGTCAGTAGGGAGGTGCCTTTCTGTTTCTTACATGCAAATTCTGCCCCTTCTCTGCCCCAAGAAATCCTTCCCAGTACCTATAACTGATGGGAACTTTTCCAAACAAAAGTTTGCAAGCACAGGAGTGCCAGTTCCCAGCTCCTTGCAATAGCAGGACTATATCCGCCAGATGAAATCCTGGGCAACCAAATCACATTCCCACAATTCTACCCCACCTGACCAGAATAAAGGGGTTTTTTTTTTTTTTCCTGACTTCAGTCTGGACTCTGGTTTACCCATGAATTTATGAATAAGAGAGACCCTTGAGAGCTTTCCTAGCTCAACCTGTACACATCCCAGCTGGTCTCTCTGTGTCCAGCCCTTCACAGAGTCAGCCAGAACTGCCCCGATTTTACAGAAATGTGCACCAGTGGGAAGCTGTTATGCAAATGGATTGAAGACAGGAACAAAATCTATGCTTTCCTCTGGGCCATGCAGACAGTAAACACGTCTGTGATGGAGAGGAAACTTCAGGGAGTGCTCTTTGCACCTGAATCACAGCTCAAGAGAGAAGGGAAGCTGTARCACAGCCACAGCTTCTGGGGCCACAGAGACATTGGCAGTCAGATCATTTTGTGACTTGTCCCCTCTCCCTCACTCCAGCAGCTGCCTGAGGCCCTGCAAGTGGGAGCCACAGGGTCAAGACTGCCTTTAGCAGCAGCCAGGGGAAGGCAGCCTTTTGCCCAGGGTGGATGGGTGGCAAGGGCAGGGACAGCTCCTGGCTGGCTCCTGTTCCAGGGGTTATCTCATGGCAACACAAGGTCACCARCCTCGCTCCAACAGCCTGGCTTCCTTGTTGTGTGCCCTGCCAAGACCAGCCCCCAGCAGGAACTGGTATGGCATCTCTCCCAACATCAGAGGAAACTCACTGGAAGACCCTGATCCAGCATCTCCCCAAGAACCTGGCAAAGGCAGCCTGAAAGAACAAGGTGCACTCTCGCACTCATTTGGGTGGACATGACACAGATGATGCACACCAGTGGTGATTTCTGTGCTGTTTGTTTCTCTGAGGRCTGTGCTGGCAAAAACATTTGATCTCCCTAGCGATATAAATACACAGCTGCTTCCTCCAAAATAGGAGGGAGAGGAGTGAAAGTGTGTGCGCGCATTTGTGCAGAGAAAAAGGGAGAGGAAATGAGGCTCAGTGCAAAATACAGGAAGTGGGAGAAAAACAGCACAAAGCAAACGTTGCATCCATTGAACGGGGCTTGAATTGGTATCTTGGCTGCTGTTTGACTAACTTATGGTATCACTAAATCCCATTCTCCTCGCAGGGAAAGAAACCCTGCAACTGTGCATTGTCAGTGTGACGGAAGAAACAGCGGCAGCTGATGCTGGTTGGGTCAGTATTACTCTCAGGCTCACAGACCAGCCTTTGTTCCCAGCACGGTGACAAAGGACTCCCTTCTTTCCTCCACCTCCCTCAAGCTGTTCYTAGGCGTGTTGGAACAGTGAATGTTTTAAGACTATATCAGCTATGGCCGACATGCCTTGGCCAGCTCCCACCAGGACCTTGTTGACCCCTGTCCCCTGGGAGGTGTCCCTCTCATGCACTGGAACCTTCCAAGGGGGGTGCAGCCAAAAGCTCATTTTCTTATCACTTGGTGGAGCTGCATGCTCCTGAGAGTCTGCTGGTACTAAACATGGCTCTGAGCCAGCAGGCCCACAGGACACCAGGAGCAGGCACAGTGCTCTATTGCTTTCTTGCTCACCCTTCAGGTTCCCCTCAGTGCACCTAAACTTGTCCCTTGGGCAGTCTGCTCCCCCATCTCCCTTGGCAGATGAGCACAGGGGAAAGGAAGCTGGTGTTGGTGAGTATCTGCTGGTGTTCATTAGGGTGACCTCTTTCTCCCTCCACATAGAAGAAGAGTCTTTAGAAGGTTTGGCCAGTGCCTGAAAAGGAGCAGGTTATGGCTGTTGGTGTAATCCCAGCCTGTGGTGCATGCTGTTCCTAGCAGAGGCAGCCTCCCAGCCAGTGGTTTTTGGCAAGCACCTAACATCTGGCAGAAGCAAAGATGCAAGGCATTGTGCTGSGTGGCAGAGCTCTTCCAGACAGGGAACTCAGGGGGAAAACACACTTCCCATATTCAGCCACCCTCTGACTGGTAGGTTCTCTGCCACCCCATTGCCAGGGCGTGAATGTCTCCCCTCCCAGAATCTGCACATTGCAAATGGAGAGTTTGCACATCTCTGAAGACCTGAGATGTGATCTTGCACTTGCAAGACCATTTGAGGTGATCCCAGTATTCCCAGTCTGCACACCCTGCACAGTTCTRGACTGAGCTATTAGTGGCAGGATTATTCCAGTCACATTTCTAGTGCCCTTTAACTTGTCAGCATAAGGACTTCACCCTCATCACCTTTCTCATGTTCTTGGGACAGAGGGTTGAACCTGCACAGAGACCTGGAGAGATTCAAAACAGAACCCATGCCCTGATGCATGCAGGCCATAAAGTACAAAAAAGGCACATGGTGAGGCAGATACATGAGATCCACTTGCAAAATAATTCTGTGATCTTGCATGGACAAACAGAACAGTACATGGAGAYAATGACAGACAGGCAGACATCTTCTAGTGCTCTACAAGAAATCCTGAGCATCACAGTCCTGGAAAAAGCAATATAGTACATTAGTTTAGAAGCTGATGTTTCAGTGTCTCCCTTTCAGGAAACAGGGAAATAATTTTCAACCTCTGAGAGCATCAAACAGCAGTGTATGGAGGAGTCAGCATAGGAGCTACTGCTGGCCATGTCTGCACACAGGTCATGCCACTGGGATGGCATTCTTTCCAGTCACTGATGACTTCTTTCCAATCACTGCAGTCAAGTGATCCCAGCTCTTTCTTTGGAAGTTGTGTCTCCAGGTCCACTACAAGGAGCGGCTTTCCTTGAACAAAGGAAGAACATTTCTGAGTGAAAGCTGAACAAAGGAAGAACATTTCTGAGTGAAAGCTGAACAAAGGAAGAACATTTCTGAGTGAAAGCTGAACAGGTGGAGTTGAGCACATCAGTCACAAGGGGTTTGTGACCAGTGATCTCCTCTATCCTTATGCTTCCTGGGAGCTGATTTTTCCCCTTAGGATCGTGTCTGATGCCAGGCCACAGCACTCTGTTGTGAGGTCTCCAGAAATGCAGCTCAGACTCTCCTCTGGGGTTTAGATCCTGGAGTGTTGTTCATTATATTAGGGTCCATATGTAGGTAGTGTAAGTTGAGGAGAAAAATGAAAAGGGAAGATAAAAGATGCTTTGGGATGCAAGACATCAGGCTTAACCCATATGTGTTTATTTCCCTTACCCCATGTGATTCTGTCCAGAGCCCTGTGAGGAGCTGTAGCAACATCTCCACCTGTATCAGGGAGTGGTGAAAGCTGTGCCAAAGATGCACATGTTAGGGAAAATCAGCACAGAAGCTTTTTCAGTATGCTAACAGGAGTCACCTAAGCATTCAAGTCCCAGGAGCAAGGAGAGCAGGGGCTATGTGAGCTGGGCAAAAAAACCATGACCTTGAATCCGTGATGTTTGGAGAGAAGGGGGGGATTGACCCACAGCAGAAATTACAAGTTGCCTACAGCATGGCTTAGGTAACATTTCCCACAACACAGCAGRGGGAAGGGCTTAAGCTTGTTTGAGATTGTTTGAGGGACAGAGAGAGAGCTTGTGTCCAGAGCTGTTTTTTAAGGCATACATCTGAAAACTGTTTACATGTGGCTAGAAGGAAGCCTCTTTGTTATTGYGCTTCAAATGACCTCTTAGTATCTAGCCTCTATTTTAAGCAGGTGATGCATATATGTTCTCATGCCAGTACTCTTCAGCCTTTTAGCTCAAAGAGCAATTCCCTTTCATTGGGATTTACCCATCTGATGTATTAATAGGCAGCAATCATATGCCCTCTTAACATTCCTTTTGCTAGGCTAAAAAAAGCAAAGACAGTCTAGACTTCTACCATCACCTCTCTTTTTGTCCAGATCACTCTACTGCCATTCTTTCCACTTACTACARTTTTCTCTCTCCTTTTCCAATTCCTTTGGAAGGTATTTTTCCTTTTCTCTGTAATGGCAATGCTTCTTTGTTTTGTCTCTTCAGCAAACGTTTACATTTTTTCTCCAAGGTCATCAGTGAAGATAAGAAATTAGCTGGTGCCAAAACCAGTCCCTAAGGAATTTCATCAGCAATTGCCTACAACTCTATGTTTCAGATTCTCTTCATTAAGCAATTTGATGTCCTCTTTTCAGTTCAAGTGTCTATCCCTGCACTCCCCTGCTTTCACAACTTCCCCTCCACCCTCTGTGAAACCCAGATATGTTTCATATACCACATAACCAATGTTTTAAAAATTATTTATTCACCTTTTTAATTTCACCTGTCCCCAAATATAAAAATAATAAAAAATACTCCACCTTTCATACAGCCACACTGAATCTTGTCTCATTGTCTGTGCACTTCCATATCTTTAATTATTTCTATTTTGTTCTAGGATAAAAAGAAAAGCTGTTCTAAGCTCTTGGGTCTATAAGTAACTATCTCCCTTTTTTTTGTTCCCTTAATTAAATTTAGGTAAAACTGTTGATACTAGGCAACTGTCTGATCCCCATCCACCCTCCATTTGCACAGGTTGGTTATATATCAATTCTATTGGATTTACTATTTGATCTGTCTCCAGGAACCTTCTGATCTGAACAAATCTTGTGAATTTTGCCTTGACCCATGATGGGATTGTCTGTGTTTCCAGACACTTTTAACCATCAATTTATAATSCCCTGCTTCTACACCATCTTTTCTGCAAAATGAGGCAAAACTTCTGGTTTCTGAAGCTTTGATCTTAGGTCTGATGCCTTGCCTTGTTCTTTCTACCTTTACAAAGAACTTCATTCAGCAACTCTGCCAGGTATATCTTACTTGGATTTCTGCTGACTGACGTGTCTTTTTCTCTAAACTTTGTGACCTCTGCAATGTAGAYTTCTTTGCTAACCACTCCCATTTTTCAATGTGGATTTTTTTTTTCACCAGTGAGCCACATTTTCTATGTGATTTCCCCCATTCTTTGTTCAGGAAAGTAAGTTAGCTATTGCCACAGTGAGCCTGAATGCCTTCCACATACAAACACTTAAGACTTTTAATTCAAATTGCTTCATCACTTCAGTCCCATAACTTCTCTGACCATTAAAATTTCAAGGCTGAAAAATCTCAGCAGTGGCCCCATGATATTTACTCTCCCACTTAACTGAAACAGAATCAGCCTGTGCACGGTCAAGGTTAAAAGTTATCTTGTGCCACATTGTTCTGCAATGTCTCAGTGGCTGTCAAGACCAGGTCAGACKCAACAGCAGCTGCAGTTAAGGTTGCTGCCTCTTTAGTGACAGAATGTCAGGCAGTGCATGCTAGAAATCCCAGCCTATGCTAGCAGCAGTGTATTCTCCATGTGAGAAGTCAAAACTTGTAGTAATGACAATCCCTGGTTCTGCACAGCATTCTAAAAACGTAAGAGAACATCGTCAGTATCCCGATGCAACCTTGGATAACAGCAGCAGAACTAAGCTGTCTTTCCTCAAGGTGATTTGAACCAAAACAAAATCTGTTTTATCACCTCTGCTCCTGCTTTTTCCTTCACACTCAACCATATCATGCACAGGCAATACCACCACATGCCCCACTGGTCTTTGCTCTTCTGAGCAGCACTAATATTTTAGTGTCATAAATCCAGCCATGCCAGCTTCTATCCTGCCCCCAGAAGTCCTGGCATACACAGTCTGCATGTTGCTCATGAGGTCCTTGTCTTAGCATTCAGGCACTTCTATTGTTTCTCCTACTTTCCCATATATATTGGTTATATAATCTTYGACAGAGGATCAGTTTCCGGCTCAAATAAGCATTACATTCCTGCTCTCATATGTTCCTTTAGTCATCACTGTATTTTAATATCTATGCTCTTCCTTCAACTAAACATCAAAAGCCAGCGTGGAAACCATAAAAAGCCCAGCCAAAATCCCSAGTCCTCCTCCTCATGTCTCAGTCTAAAGTGTGTCTCAAGTATCTTGCTCTCAGCAGGCTGTGTTCTTCCAAATGCACACTCAAGCTGCCAAGGAGGGTCTTCTTTCTCTGGGCACCTTCAAAGAGACAACACACTGCTGGCAGCAGTTCCCAAAGAATCTGTAATGTCTGTGCCATGGATTTGCCCTTCTTCTCTTAGGACATGTTTCACTGAGGTACGTAATATGCCTTGAGCAGCATCTGCAGTCATCCTTCCTCCATTCCAGTGGAAATCTAGCTCCCTCATTTGTCTCAACATSAAAGGAATCACTGGATTATTCTCTTTTCCTGACAAACACCTCTTCAGTTCCAGATCCCCTTTGTAACTGGATTTGTCTTAAAGTGTTTYCACTCATACAGACTTATCTTTCCTGGTGCTGACGCTGGTGTCTATAATCCATTTTGTCTAAAGCTTCATTTTGTCCCTTTCCCGTGTTCTTTGCAGTGTTTCCTGCAGCCTCTTCTTTCCAGGTTTATGGATTCATCATTCCCTGGCATCTGACCTCAAGCCTTCCYCATCTTTTATTTTCATTTTCTGCTAGGTTCAGTTTTTCCCTCCTTCTTGTTGCTATTCCACAAGTTTTTTTCTTGAACTTCAAATGAAGCAGTTTCAGGGAAGAACTTGCGTGTGTCTGATAAGCTCTGCTCTGATGTTTGCTCAGAAGGTATGGTAGCAATGACCTGAGTGCATTCCTCTCTACGCTGAAAACCTGAAATCCCAAAAGCAGATGAGAAATTTCAGCAGCACAGAAGCTGTAATTCTAATTTAGGTTTATCCAGACTCCAGCTCTGGAGTGGCCTGCTGATTTAAAGCAGCAAAGCAGGTTGCAGCAGCACAAGGCCTGAACATAAAACTTTACTTTTACAAGCAGCATAAAGCCTTTACTTCAAGGCAGCAATTACAAGTTTGAAGTTTGAAATGAGAATCTCATTTCTCCAGGAGGCAGGCAGCTACTACTGCTCACATCGTGCATCATGGTGACAGAGGTTAAATAACCTTCTTGTTCTTATTGRCAGAAGTCACCTCCAGATACTGCTCTTGCCTGCCCCTTGGCACTGGGTGAGRGCTGCCAGGAAGGTGGGGGAACTCAATGTGCCTCCATTGTAGACATCTCAACCTATCTTAAACAACACAGCTGGAGGCAGAAATGATGGACATATCTTCAGCAACATCATCCAAGTGTTGTACCTCCTGCTCCCCTCTGAACTTCTCATCAGAGCCACAGCTTGGCTACAGCACCGTTCAGCACAGCACCACTGGGTAGCATTCCTTWGGTGCAAAATGTGTGTTTCCTCCATTAAGTTTCCACCTCAGATAGATGGGGTTGCGTTGTCCAGGATGAGTGACACGATGCTTTTGCTGGGCTGAGCAGAAACTGTCACAGGACATTGTTGTCACAGGACCATCTCCCCTCGCCTCCCATTGGCCTTGCTCAAGGTCGTGCTGCATGGCAGCAACAGGAATAGAGCCTGTGAATTCCAGCTCCTTATCCCACTTGACCCAGGGCCAGGCTCAGCTGGGAAAAAGCAATATCCGTCCAAGCGCAGCGGCAGTGCCCGGGTGTTGTTGTGCAGCTCGGGAACAGGTTAACACTCGTGCTTGCTGAAACCCCTGCCGTGCACACAATAGGCATGAGAGGTGCCAACTCTGGAAGTTGGAGACCTGGGGACACGCTGTGCTGGAAGCACTGGGGCCCCATCCAGCTGCACCAGCACTGCCTTGCCCGTGGGACTGCGAGTTCCTCCCTGGGAAAGCAGCAACGCCCAGCTGACTGCACTCCAGCCCTGGCAGGAAAACGCTGATTTTATGGACAATGCCCAGATGGGGTGATTAAGCCTGTTCAGCATGGTCCCACAAGTGAGCAGTGTGCACACCTGCACTCCAGGATAATTTTTGTGCTTCTTCTTCACTAAGTTTTCTGTGTTAGGGATGCTTTCTCCCAGAGATGAAGGAATAGCAGGGTGTCCCCCCTTCACCAGCCACGCAGTTCTGCCCTAGATGTATCCAGGTTGTTTACCTTCAATGAGAGCTATCAAATCTGTTAGCATGAACCCCTGGAGAGCTTGAAAGATTTGGGCACTCAACCCCTAGGGAGTAAAATGTGCTGTTTTGACTTTGGTGGAAAAGGTTGCATATCACAGGCTACTGCCAGCTAATGAGAAATGAGTCTGGACAATTAATCAATACACAATCTCCTCCGCTAATCATATTGATGGAAGATGAGCTCCATCCCCCAGGAAGGGCAAAGGCCATYGAGCTAAGCCATTTAGCAGCATTTATTTATATCCTTGGTGGTTCAATAATTCGAGTCTTGCCCAACAGCATCAGGCCCCTGAGGACTGGGTAATATTGTCCAGTTGGAAAAAAAAAAAACAACAACACAACAAGTATTACTTAGCAGAAAAACAGCCTTTTAATGGAAATTAACACTTTTAAGGGAAAATATATTCCTTTTCTCTACATTTCAACCACACACATATGTACAAAAGAAATTCTGAAATATTYTATATAAATGGTCATAAAAATATTTTCTAGGGGACTACTTTAAAGAGTTGTAAAGGTCTCAGGATATACATTACTTTCAGTTGTACCAGAACACCCTTCTCTACAAGCCTACCATGAGGCATTAAAATGGAATTTGTCCCTCACTCATTCATCCTAAAACCGTGCCTTTYCTCTGGCAGGCACTACCCACTTTGTAAGAAGGCTGGCCCCGTGGGTAAGGTGAGTTTACTCTTGTGTAATTAAAGCCWGTGTTGAAACCCATACACACCAAGGGACAAAGATGATGTCACAGCACAGCTGTTTCTGTGACACAGCTGGTTTCCCAGCTTCCCGACACAAATCCTGCTCTTTCTGAGCTGCAGTGGAGTGGGTGGTGAAACCATCAGTTGGAAGTTGCAGATTGTCCCTGCCTGTTGTGTGTGGTGCTGTCCCTGCAAAAGCTGACAGAGCCCTTCCTTCCACTGCACTRTGTAAACTGTGGAGAAAGGCACTGTGCTTCCCACAGTTCCCAAAGAAGCTGTTTACTTACACAGCTGCCTGCTGGTACTTATTTACAGAGTACTACTGACAGCCACCAAATCTGCTTGTATAGCTCTGGAGACAGTTCAAACTCTCTGTTCCCAGACAAGTGATTAATGGTGTATGGAGAGAAGTTGGGACTGAGGATAAAAACGAGCTTTCAAAACAAGAGCCTCTGATCTCAAACTGAACAAACATTTCCCCTTGCCTGTGTCAGCTAGTTTGATTTCCAACAAAAGAGCAGATTGCTTGGGAAACCACAGTCATGCCAGTGAATTACTTTCCTCATAGTCAGAGAAAGCTCTCTCAAGCACCCAGTCCTGCTCTCTCAAATCAGGTTGAAGGCAGAGCTCCCTCTGCAAGCAGCTAGTGCAAATGAAGCTCAGACTGGGTCTCCCAGCTCAGACCTTGTAAGGAACAAGATTAAACTCTTCAGAGCTCCACCTCCTTTTTAACCCTTACTTGTAAATAGCTACAGGGCCAACTTGTGCTCAGAAGATGCACCTGATTCTGCCAGTGGCAGATCCAAACATGAAGGCCTCAAAGGAACAGTTAACCCACCCTATGAAAGGACTACAGAAGCCAGAACAGTATTTTCTCACAGTTTGAAAGCTTCTCTGACAGGGAAAGACTTAAGGCATTGGCAAAGAGGTGCTCCACACGAGCAGATCTGTGGCAGTAACACAGAGAGCGCTGCGACAGAAGCGGCCCAAGGCAGTGTCCAGATGGCACAGTCAGACAAGAGCAGCCTTCCCCTGTGCCCCATTCACATGTATGAAATGTKGTGGGTGATTATTAACAGCTCTGAAGGTCTGTGGCTTTTAGCCTGCATGTACAGAACACACATGCAAGCATAGACTCTTACATGTGMATTACACACATGTATGTGCACGCACACACCGTCATTCACATACTCATGCTGTGCAAAGTGCATCCAGCCCCACAGCCACTGCCTCAGCTCTGCCAGTAACTGATGGGATCTTGCTGAAAAGTGCTCTGAGCACAGGTTTAACTTTGTGTGAGCCTCTTCCAGCTGAGCCCACRGGAGAACGCCGCTATTGTGAGGGCCAGAGCCTTCCTGCCATGCCAGCACACGCAAAAGCTGACGTTTCATAAGCTGCCTGCCATCGGGAGGACAAAGTCCCGTTGAGTGGGYATTGGCTCTGCCTTTCCTCACAGATAGCAAGGGATCAGCTGAACTCGAGTTTTGGCAGCCTCCCACGGTATGGCACAAGGCTAGCCAAGCATGTGAGGCAGAGCCATTATCAGTGCCCTGTTCCTAACAAAGTGAAGACATTCCCTTTCATCTCAAACTAATATTTGTCCCCGTTCTTTCCAAGTAGAGGAAAAAAGACACACGCTGTGCCAGATCCCCTGCTGTGATACGTATCTCCTAATCTCTGGCTTGTATGGTTACAGGGAGGCTGCAGGCATGGGAAAACACTCAAACATCCGAATCCAGGATAACATCCTGAAGTCAAGGTGTAAAGCAAAAACAATAAATAAAGGTTCTTCAGGAAGGATGGAAGACAAAATTACTTAATTCCATGTATTTTCCCACCACAGTGGCTAAGGAAGCTGGGGTTTACAGAGGGCGAGTGAAAAAGATTTGTTCAGTCCCTTTTAGGAGGAAGAAGGTGCTGTCTGCCCAGATTCCACATTCAGAGCCCTGTTATCTCCTCAGTCACCTTTATCATCAGAGGCAGGAAAGATGAAGTTCTCGGACTTTTCTCAGCCCTTTAGCCCTGATTTAGGGCACAGACAAGTCAGCYTCATGAGYTAGCCAAGATCCTGAGCACTGAAGRAAAYTCTTTGTGYAGAAAGTAATCCTAAWTCTGCATGACCTCTGTGCACCTTCTTTATAACATGAAYCAATCCATCAACTAGAGTCACTTGCATTTCTAATTAAAAATAATCCACCTGTAGACACTGACTTATAGCTAAGCAGAATCTAAGTGATGTGACACATACTGAAGACACTCTGCTCCTGCTGGGATGCAGAATATTTTACACAGAGTTGTCCTGGGATGCTGCTTGCATGTCTGTTGGCCATGATGTAGTGGATATGCTGAGAGTCCACAAAGCACTGAGTTGCAAAATCTTGGTTCTAGGCAGGCAAAACAGGATGTCTGGTTACAGAGGGGTGTCTGTTCTTCTGCAAAGGTTAGACCAAGACCCTGAGGAGCAGGGAGGCAGGGGAGAGGCACAACTCAGGGGGTGACTGGGAACTACTTCAGAACAACCCAAAGGTGGACAACCTGCCCTTGTATCTTCAACCATGTGAGCCCTTAAGAAATCCCAATGGAAAAGGCACAAGAGGGGATTTTGCTGCGTGTACTTGCAGCTCTCTGGGTCAGACAGCACTGGAAATAGAGGACTAACATKCTTTTAACACATTTTGCAGTCAGCWCTTGTCCAGAATCARTTGGTGACACACAGCCTCTGAGCTGCTCAGAGAGACAGAGATGAAAAAGAGAGGAAAGCTCCTGTATGGTTCATGCCAGCAGTAAACATATGGAAGTGGAAAGCAGATGGACTACAGATACCAAGAGGAATGTTTCAAACAGTCTCAGGTCCTTTGTACCTGTGTCTCCCTTGAACTGGAGGTTTTTCACATCCAGCCAACTCAGAGCACAGGCAAGGAGGTGGCCTTTGTTCCCTCTCCCCGCGGAAGGATGTGGCCTTGCTTGCTCCAGGAGGAATGAAAGAGTGCAGTGAAGGGGGCCAGACTTTCAATGGTGCCTCTTAATCACATGCAGCTTTTTCCCAATCTCTGCAGATATGGGCCCAGCTCCCTGAGATGCCACCTGGAGGAGGAGACAGGAGAGCAGAGCGAAGGAGAGCTGGTGATAAAATGGACACAGCCCTAGAGTGCCAGGTATCAAATCCTTCCTCACCAGCTTTCCTTTCCCTTAGCAGCCTCCTGAAAGTTCATTGCAGGTTCCTACAGACCCCTGACACAGCAGCAGTGCCACTGAAGTGAAGGCTGTGTCTGGCTGTGTGGCTCTGGAGGCGTGAGCAAGTCCTTTGTCAAAGGGACATGTCAGAAATGCAGAGACAGCCAGCACCACATGGGGACAAAGCTCTGCACCACACGGGGACAAAGCTCAGCACCACATGGGGACAAAGCCCAGCACCACACAGGGACAAAGCCCAGCAGCACACGAGGACAAAGCCCAGCAGCACACGAGGACAAAGCCCAGCACCACATGGGGACAAAGCCCAGCACCACATGGGGACAAAACCCAGCACCACACGGGGACAAAGCCCAGCACCATATGGGGACAAAGTCCAGCACCACATGGGGACAACGTCCTGCACCACATGGGGACAAGGTCCAGCAGCACATGGGGACAAAGCCCAGCACCATACGGGACAAAGCCCTGCACCACATGGGGACAACGTCCTGCACCACATGGGGACAAGGCCCAGCACCACACGGGGACAAAGCTCAGCACCACACGGGGACAAGGCCCAGCATCACACAGGGACAAAGCTCAGAACCACACGGGGACAAAGCCCTGCACCACACGGGGACAAAGCCCTGCACCACACAGGGACAAAGCCCAGCACCCCATGGGGACAAAACCCAGCACCACATGGGGACAAAGCTCAGCACCACATGGGGACAAAGCCCAGCAGCACACGAGGACAAAGCCCAGAACCACACAGGGACAAAGCTCAGCAGCACATGGGGACAAAACCCAGCGACACACGGGGACAAAATCCAGCACCACACAGGAACAAAGCCCAGTACCTCATGGGGACAAAGCCCAGCACCACACAGGGACATGGCCCAGCACCACACGGGGACAAAGCTCAGAACCACACGGGGACAAAGCCCAGGACCACATGGGGACAAACCCAGCACCACACAAGGACAAAGCCCATAACCACACGAAGACAAAGCCTTGCACCACACGGGGACAAAGCCCAGAACCACACAGGGACAAAGCCCAGCACCATACGGGGACAAAGCCCTGCACCATATGGGGACAAGGCCAAGCACCACACAGGGACAAAGCCCAGCACCACATGGGGACAAGGTCCAGCACCATACGGGGACAAAGCCCTGCACCACACGGGGACAAACCCAGCAGCACAGCCAAGAGGTGACAGGGCAGGCTGGGCAGGGCAGTGCAGCCTGTGGGGTCACAGCTGAGAAGCCACCGCAGCACAGCATTGTCACAGTGTGTGATGTGTGACACGCAGTGGGACAGGTCCTTGTCACACGCCTGACACTCAGCCATGGCCGGCCATCAGCAGCAGCCCTGCAAACACAGCTAGCCAGCCTCAGAGCGTGCATATTTCTTGACTCCTCAGTCTGTTCCAGGCTCTCCTTCTGCATCCAGAGGACAAAGGTCGCTGCAGTCCTTTCACAGGGTGCCAGTGAAGCAGTAGGGAAGGAGCCAAGGTAAACTCTTGAAGAAAAGCAAAAGCCACCACAAACACAGCTCACTGAGCCCAGCAGGAGCAAGCGTGTGCTCTGTGTTGTCCCTTTAAACTACATTGAGAGAATTAGTGTTTTAAACCAGTGGCTGCCTCCCAGGAGGCCGCAGTCCTGGCTGCCATGGCCAGSCCTGACAGTCCCTTCACTTTTTGGCTTTGCCCAGGCCACAAGACCTCTGTGTTTCTGTTTCCCTGCTGTTAAAGCATGTGGCAAAGGGGAGGGACTCCTTCCAAAATCTTTGCCCTCTTTGAGAGGGCAGCAAAGGACCAGCTCAGCTTGGCACTGGCCAGCCAAGACAGGGAGAGCAAAATGCCTGTGTCAAGTACAGAGGAAGTCTGCAGAAGTGCTTGGAGCACAGATCCTCAGGAATTAAATCCCCAGGGAAACAGCCGGTGCTGCCCAGCTATTCACTGCCAGCCACAATGCTCTGCTTCCACTGGTAAAAGGCAGAGGGCTGGGCATCTGTCTCCACATGGACAATATGGACACAAACCAAACATTAAAAATATGCCTGAATCCCATAGCCTGACCCACCCCCTGCCAGCATCTCAGCTCCTACCCCTCATCCAGAGCCCTCCTGCAGCCTGTGGRCCCCTGTCTGCTGGGTCCTCAGCCCATGCACCCTTTTTACCACAGCASATGCCCTTCCAGGCTGAGTTCCAGAAGGAGGGACCCTTCCCCTCCTGTGTAAGAGAAAAGGCTTCAATAAAGTTTCACAGCAGAGAAACCAGACTGGCTCTCTTCCATCCCCTCCCAGAGCTGAGATGACCAGCTATTTCAGCTAAAAGACCCRTCCCCTGGGTGGCTGGTATCTGTGGCTCTCACCTCTATATCTTCATTTTTTTTCCTGTATGTCAGTCAAGTGAAATTAATCACAGATGGTTTTTAAAGTACTGGATGCTATCTCACCAGAGACTGTCTCCTTAATTGTGTTGCAGGTTGACAGCTTGCCAGGGCCTCTGTACCTCGTCCAGGAGTTAATATTTTATCTAGAAGTTCAAAGGAAGCTTGGTGGAAATTGTGCTAGCCTTGAAATGCCAAAGGTAACTTTCAAATATTTCCTTCCGGACTCTGAAATGTTGTTGGTAGAAATGTATTTTCTGAAAGGAAATGGCTCTGGACCTGGGCTAACAGCTGGGGAGATTGTTCATGAAAATCAGTGCCCTGAGGCTCTGYATCACTTTCATCTGTCTTTCCCAAACCCCCCACCTTTATGGAGACCAAATGCATCACTCTTCCAACTCCAGGGAGGTGAAGTGAGAGCAGCTCTCCAGCAGAGAAAAATGTGCTCATCCTGTAAAGGTTTCTTTGTTCTCATTGCACAGGATCGTTTTTCTACTGCGCAGCAGATTTATGTGGGGAACAGCAGTGGCACAGGGCATAATGACTCTCCATTTTGTTTAATTATTAACTCACATGATCTCCAGGTGCCACACGTTCCAGCAGGCCTGCAAGGCTGTGCCAGGGAGGGAGCAAAGCAGCAGGAGGGCAATGAGGAAAAACCCATTTCTCCTCTTGCTCACTGATGTTGTTCTCTGTCCTGGGGTCTTCTTACCTGAAGTGTGTTGTCCCTTCTCCTAGAACTCTGCACACTCTGAGTATTTTACCAAAACAATTGATACTGCGGTGATTTTTTTTCAGTGGGGACCATGTAGCAACTATTTCAAACTACGTASCAGGAGTGAATGGAAGCCAAAATTAATTTCACTGAGTTTTTCAGCTGCCATCAAGAAGCTGGGTCTTTCAACCCACCACCGCTTGGTTTGCAAATGGCCAGGAACTGCTTTACAGTTCAAAGATACAGATTTTAGGAGAATTTGCTGGAAACTTTTCACCAAACTTGCCTCAAATTTCAATGCCGGGTCCTCAAAACCAGGTAATTGCTGGAGAAATGATGTTTTCAGGAAACTTGTCAGCTTGAAATACTGGTGAGGGAATCCCTTTTCTAGGTATCACAACAATTAGACATTTTTTTAAAGACAAAAGGATTTCACCATAGAGGTACTTAATTGTCAAAAAGCAGAAGACTGGGTATAGTGAAATTATTCTAAAAAGATCATTGGAAGGTTACTGAAATAAAAATTTTCAAAAAGAGCTTTTTTTCTCCCTAGCAGCATATAAAATCTTTAAAAGGTTAGAGATTTTAACTTTTTCTCCAAATATAAAATACACCTCTTTCCACAATATCTCAAACATTCGTGAAAGGGGAAATCAGTTTCCCGCTCAGCTTGGCTTTTAGAAAAGCAGAAAACCATAAAGCAGAAAGGAATTTGGCTGGAGAAAAAAAATCCAAAAATCTCGACCAGAATCTTTCTCCTAAGTGAAAACAACCCTAAGGTTATCAGAAACATAGCCAAGATTGAGGCATCTGTGGTTTCAGCAGCACTTCCCTTCCTGAGCAAACGCCTGAGATGCCATMAAGTCCACATTGCCTGGGACCTGAATTCTGTTCCTGTATCTCTGTCTATTTTAAGGCATATCCCATACACGGTGCCTTCAGCTCCTCACAGCCAGGAATGTGGCTCTTCCTGGAAACCACCTGCTCAGAGAGACAGCTGGGCTTCTACTGTGCTCCAAATCTGTGCCACAGCCCCTGCAGGGTGGGTTAAGGTGTCCTCCTCCCAGGGTTTCACAGCCTCAGCACGTGGGGAACACCAGCAAAAGTGGGAGGGACTTTGGTTTATACAACTACAACTCACTGCTGGCCCTCAGGCATCAGATCATGGGTCAGGTACAACCTGACACCCACATCCTCCCCACCTGCCCGACACGAGTTTCCTTTGCAGGTTTTCTGTGCCCTCTGCACTCATCAGGCTGTGAGCCCTGCTGATAGCTGGTGCCAGGTGACTGCTGCTCAGCCAAGCTTTGTCACCCTGCCTCTCTGATGGWCTGAAATGACCTTCAAGGGATTAGCTGCAAGGTGAAAGTACACTAGCGGGTTGAAGCTGGTCACTCAACATCCAGGGATTAGAGCAAACTTGTAAACAAAGCTGGTTTGATTGTCTTCTGCAAGGCATCCTTGTCTAAAAGTCAGATCTGCAAGCCCCAAAGCTGAAGCTAAGAAGAGCCAAGAGCCAAGGTAACCCAAATTCAGGGTACTGGAGACCTCTCGACTGGGCTGCCTGGGACAAGGATGAGAGCTTGTGAGAAGTGGGAGAATATTATTCCTGACCATGTCTAATTAGGTACTGAAGTGTAGATGCCAACCAGGATCTTCTCTCCTACAATCAGTCCCAGGGAAATTCTGTATAATGGCATCACYCTGGGTTCAAAGAGGGAGAGACAAAAGTCCAAACCACTTCGGTAATGGACAAGTTTCAGAAGAGATCCCTGAAAATCCTCCCCCAGCTGAATGTCCTAGTAATGTTCTAGTGGTTCCTGAGAGCCCTAATACAGATTTTATCTGCCCCGTGACTGCTGAATTGTATCATGTTCTTTTACTTACCCTCTGAGTGCTTCCAGAATAGACTGGGTGAGGTGACATTGCACATTGGCACCCCAAAATCATTGGGTGATTGCCTAATTCCTTCAGGGGAGGGTTGAGTGATCTGGGAAGAGGGAAGTGTGGAGGATCTCAATAGACCTCAGCTCCCTGGATTTTTGCTTAGCACCACCACATGCCTCCTGCAATGCCAGGTCTGTAAATGCAGTGCMCAAACTCAGGGCGTAGTGAGGAATTACAGCTAAAGTTCTCCCTCTGCAGTCCTTGAACATGCAAAGGGTGGCTCCACAGTTCCTCCCAGGGCCRTCCAGCTCGATGATGTGTGACTAACTCTTTCATTGACCAAAGACCAACCACTTCCCTCATGTGACCTTACATAACTGTTCATCTATTCCGTTAATGAATGGAGCTTGAGAAAATTTCCATTGCCTCAGGCCCTTAGGGGAAAATGCGTGAGCACCGTCTCCACCTTTTGTGCGCCGATGTGGGATTTTCCTATGGATTAACTGAGTACAGTAGTATTATTTTTTGGTTGCTGTCATTGGTGACTGAAATGGTAAGCTAACAGTCTGGAAAAAAAAAAAAAAAAAGGAGTCTCTGCCTGTGCCAGAGGAAACAGGAGACTCCTCCTGCCAGGAGGAGCAACAGGGACATCACTGCGTCACCAGTGTGGTCTGGGGCTGCACCTATTCTCAGGCAAAAGCTGCAGTGTTTGCTCAGCCCTGAGCAGAGCCAAAACACCTCTCAGCTTCTCCTCACTCCCTCCCTCCCTCCCTGCACAGATCCAGCAGTGCCAAACTGCTGGTGTTCTGAGGGCCAGACCCAGTCCTAGCACTGGCAAACAGTTCTCTCTGGGGTGCTGTGGGGATGGAGCAGTCTGGTGCAGGACACAGTGGGGAGGGGTGATACTGGGTATATTGGCATGTCAGAGGTGCACACCCCAGCATTTAGAGGAGGGAGGATGATGAGAATACCCCATTTTTTCCAAAAACCCCTAATAATGCTTCAGATTTTCCCATTTTTACCAATTCACTGTGGCGCTGCCTAAGATGGAAATTACTTCTATCAGAAAAGTCCTCCTGCCAGTGGAAAACTGGGGAGGGAAAAGCTCAACCTCTTCCCACAAAATACCATGCAAAGGTGTTTGAAAGTGCTGTAGACACATGATTTTCAGAAAGAGGATTGTTGTTCTCTGGGAATGTATTTTGGAATATTTTGAATGTGCAGTGTGGGTTTCCCATGGTGTGGGCTTCAAATCTCATGGTTTTGAAATGTTGCTGAAGCTAAGAACATAGCTAGGTTGAACAAGACATGATGGATGGAAGGGGCAGCACTGAAATACTGGAGGATGCTCCTTTCAATTTCAATTTATGGGGAGAAAATGCAAATGTTGCCCARGCTTCTGTAATGCCTGGTCCATGTGTAATGATGAGTAAATATTTAACTGAAGAAAGAACATTCCCTTCCAGAGATTGAAGCAGCCAAGTTAATCAGTTCCAGACTACATTCAAGTCATGGGTGTCAAGAGGACAAGTTCAAAAACCTTGAGGATGTTCAAAGTCTGCAATTACACCTCAGCAGTTGCCATGCCTTCCCTGGGATGCTAAAAAAGAAGGATATTTTCACCTGCTGAGAAAGCAGGATGATGAACTCACTCAATGACATGCTTCAAAGGGAGGGGGAAGGGCTGGAGATGTGGTAAACAGGAGTTTGGATTTCCTCCTGTTGCATCTAGATGGTGCTTCACAAACTTGGGAGATGAGGCTTTTGCAGCAGCTGGATTGGGAAAGCCCTCAGGCAGATCTGGAGACATTTCCCTGCCCTGGCAGCCCATGGGATGTTCACCATCAGGGCTGATGACAGAAGTTGCCACCAGCTGGAGTTCTCAGGCTTTGGGAAGTGCTTAGTTTCTGCCAGACCTTCCTCTTACACAATGTATTTCCATTTGTTCTTTTTTCTCAGTATGGTTTGTCCTCATTTGTCTCTCCCTTACTGCCAGCCCATTCCCTTCAGAGATTATTCAGGGCAGGTTGTTTGCACTCATGGCTCTAACAGAACAATTTCCTACAGACACGATGTAGTTCATATTTTCACATCCTCTCTGTAGGGCTTGTGCTGAGCTCCTGGAGTATTGGAAAGAGGCTTGGTTTTCAGCACACTTTTTCCCACCCCAGTATGACCAGCTGAGCAGTTGATGAGCTGACATCTTGGCTGCTCATTCATCTCTGACTTCTGCTGCTGCTTTGGGATAGAGACATCTCCCTGTGGAGAAAAAAAACCCCACTCCAAGAATATATTTATCTTTAGGTCCATCTCTCTTCTGATGTCTTCCCCACAAAACTCCCTGAGGTTTAAGGCACGTATTTCCAATCCTCAGCATCAGACCCTATTCTCTAGAGCTCATTTTGCTTCAAAGGGCCTCATTTAAAGTTGGGATGAGAAAGCAGGGAACTGATTCAATGCCCTAGTCCATTTGAATGACTGAACATCTCTTAAGTGCTTCAGCCAAAGCACTCAGCATTTACTATTTGGGGTGGTTTTTTGTTCACAATCAAGAGTCAAATATTTTATCATGAAACTGAACTCTGTATTTATTCAAAGCTCAACTCCTCCTAGAGAAGTGATAACTCAGAATAATGGTAAACTGAATTCTGGCTACAATATAAAAAAGCAAAAGTCTGTGTTGCTATTTCTCACTTTGGATTTAAACCCTCTGGACTGAACAGCCCTTACCAGGCACTGTGTAAAGTTTTTTCCTAAAATAAGATGACAGGGGTCAGGGGCCCAAGCTAAGCTGATTAGCACAGC